CAAAACTTTACTCCAACTTCATTGATCAGACATGCGCAAGAGCACCTGTACTGGCGCATGCGTCGTTAGCAACTAACCTTTCCACTTCCTTTTCCTGTGAAACTATCAACATGGCGGTACGTGAACGTCTTCTCCCATCAATTAATCCTTCTATATCTCTGCAATCATGGGTGGATCTGATGCATGAAGCCTTCTTAATGATAGAGGAACATTCATGCATTCAATCGACATTACTTTGACATGATTACTCTCCTGAGTTCTGCCATTTTATAAGGCAATTTCTATGACATACCGAGATTATTTTTCCCCAGAATCTGAGATGAGAGATCAGATTTTCTTGAATCCTTGTATGTTTATCTCTAAATTGATTATTCTGGTAGAGGCAAAAATAAAGATGTGAATAATAATTTTATCGTGGTAGACGTTTAGTATTCACTAAAGAGCTAGATTTCATTATCTTGTGCAATAAGTAATGAAAGAGGGAGAGGGGAATACATCGGTTGTATGTTTAAATGTTATAATAGAGTTGAGTGAGCAGATTTCCAGCCAAAATTTGATGTCTTTTTACCCATCGTACTCATAAACATGTCAAGAATGAGCAATCAGTTTCTTGCATTGATGAAAATATGTTGATTTCTTTCAGACTGAAGCTGAATTGAAGGAGTTGGCTGAGAAGAAAAAACGGCGTACGTTCCGTAAATACACCTACAGAGGTGTCGATCTTGATCAGTTATTGGACATGACCAGGTAAATGGAATTATGAGAACATTACATTTCTTTAAATTGAATTACTTATGTTCCGAGTAGGTCAATTCAACATGAGTCTTGGCCTGTAACTGGATTGCAGTTGCACCAGAAAAATCAGGAAAACCTCAGAATACTCTAATGCTATTACAGGAGTATTTGATCTAGAATGCTGTAATGATGAAAGAAACACTCCATGATCCAAATGATTTTAAAGTGGAACCCTTTCTGAACTAATTTCTGTTTTGACAATAGTTTAGTCAGGATACTATGGTGTTTTTTTTGGGCGATGAGGATAAGAATAAGTAATGATGAAAGAAACCCTTCATGATCGTAATGATAATAAAGTGGAACCCTTTCTGAACTAATTTCCATGACTACAAAATGTAGCTCATCAAGAATAAAAGAATGCTGAATTTTCAATTCGATAATTTTGATACTATTAGTCTAAAGCCATGATGAGAAATGATCAGTATGATTCAAGAAGGGTTGGAACACTGCTCTTAGCTTTTTACTTTGACCACTGAAATGGCACTTGATCCAAGAGATCCCCTCTAGTATTAATTCTTGAAAACCCACCACTGTTTTTCTACTGCATTGCTTCAGATTCCAATCAAAGACATTGCTTGATATAAGGCCGGTCCCTAAAATATTTTCTTTCCTTTTCAGTGACCAACTCATGGAATTATTAGGCTCGGGTGTCAGACGACGATTTTCACGAGGGTTGAAACGTCAACCTATGCACTTGATGAAAAAATTGAGGAAAGCCAAGAAACGAGCAGGTCCTTTTGAGAAACCAGAGGTAAGGAACTTGATTAGAGTCTTGAAATATTTGAAGAAACTGTTCAATAAGTATAAGTGAGAACACACGTGATGACTCTGGCCTCAGAGGTGATATGACTAAAGATGCATAAATTAAAGCAATATGGCAGTAAATAAATAGACTGTAAACATGATGATAGGATTACAAGTCATTTGTTGATAAATGATATTCTCCGGCTGTGTCTGATTTACAGGTTGTCTCCCCTTGTTATTCATTCATGATCAACGAGAATAGGTTTTTAATTGAAGGTTTATCAAGCAACTGTTTTTTCTTTTGAGCGTTTATCAAGCAACTATTGCTGCTATCTGATGGCATATTATCTTGTACATCTTAATAATAATAATAATTTATTTCTATAGCGCCTATAATCCAGTAAATGCTGCTCCATGGCGCTGTTGTACAATATGGCATATTACAAATCAACATTACATACATAGAAAAACAAACAATGAAACTTCTTATCGAATCAACTTTATAAGAACATGTAGATAACAGATCAATTAGCTTTTGAGATATCAGATTTTATCTCTGACTTGTTTTTTCTCCCAATTTCAAAAGGTATGATTTCTCATGTCATATTCTGTCTTATTTCAGGTAGTAAAGACACATTTAAGAGATATGATCATCGTACCGGAGATGATTGGCA